TGTCTGTAAACTTGCAGTGAACCTTGTTTCACCATAGAGAGCCACTCAGGTTACTTTGGTATCACTTTCAGTGGAGATTGGGGTCTAAAATTTTTGTCTTGATTTGGTTTTCTTCAACTTTTAAAGAGGAGGAGCTTTTTTAACTCAAATTTTAATATTAAATCTTGCATCCATTTAAAATGTAAACTCGCCTCCAACATCTGTGAATAAAGGAATTTAAGAGGTTGATTTCCTTCCCTCTCAAAAGAACCATTTGTTGCTTCTTGCACAATTGCAAATCATTGTTTACACTGCTGCAGTTTTATTATTTCCTCTATAATTAGAGTGATGCCACGCTCCAAGTAATCCCCTGCACACAAATACTGTACAAGTAATTACAAGGATGCATGGAGCCGAGCTGAGCCCAACAAAATGGGACGCAGCCAAGCGGCATATGACTCCCCTCGTCAGAAGTTGGCCCGGAGTCCTCAAGGCCGATCCAGTGATGCAGCAAAACATGACACTGTTGTGTTTTTCTTTTTTTTCCTCTTTTCTTCTCTTTTTTTTTTTTTCTGGAGCTGGCAGCCGCAGCACTTTTCCTCAGGAAGCGAGGCTGCTGTCGCTGCTCAAATAAAATGCTCCAGCCTGCAGCTCCGTCTGCTTCTTCAGTTTTTACTTTCCCCCCTGTCCGATCTATTTCCCTCCCTTGCTCATCTCTATTTCTGTCTTTTTTTTTCCTCAAAGTCTCTTTTTCTGATCTCTAATTTCTGTCTTTCCTCCTACACCCTCTTGTCCTTTCTCAGTGACCTGCTGTTGATCCACAGTTCTTTCTATTCCCTTTCTTTGTTTCTGCACTCGTCTCATTCCACCTACTTTCTGTACATATGTTCTCTGGTTATTTCTCTGGTTTTCCTCCTGTTTTATCTGTTTTCCCATCTGCCTTCACGGTCTTCTCCCACTTTACTTATGCCAGCAGCTGGATCCCTGGCAAAGGATTTAAACCAAACAGATATTCAGGGAACTACAATACATGAATGAATTTTTGGTCACTTTAGGGTGTGCTATTGATTGTTTACTGTGTAAAATGTAAGTCGTATTTTTTTATATGCAGTCTGGAAGCTTGAAGCTTTATAACCTCAAACCTTTGGTAGGAATACACCAATCTTGTACTGATTTCTGACTGTTTTTGAAGTCTGATCTGTGGATTTAGTGTGTATTTTTAAGACCTTAACACCCTCAGAATGGATTCTCAGTTTGACAAATAAGTGGCCAAAACAGAAATAAATGCTTGATGGAAGTAGTAGATATGTATCGAACAGAAAAATGAAATTACAAGAATACTTAATTTTATGCATCCGTGTGCATGTCACTAACCCTTATTTCCATTTTTTCTAATCTCAAAACAAAGGACATCAAAACAATTCCTATTGGTTGATGCCTTTTGCAGACATGTTTTTGGTTTTCATACATAATAAATATTGATTTTTAGTATTATCAATCACCATTTACAACCAATTGAGAAAAAAACTGGCAGAATTTAATGATTGGTAAATGAGTTGATGCATAATCACATTATGTAACTTTTATGAAGTAATAAAATGTGTCTGTCTAGTTTTTTAATCATTAGTTTTAACTTTTTCTAATCATTTTTTTTTTGTTTTCCTCATTAAATTGAAAAGATCTTTGAGATTCTCTTACAATATATCAACAAGCTTCTTCATTAATTTGGTCCAATATAGGAGTTCATGTTGCAGCACCCTCTGCACTTTTTGGATGCCCTCCTGGTGTAAAAAAAAAAAAAAAGTGCTAATAATCCCAAAGCAATATTACAGTGCAATAGCATAACCTCAAATTGAAAGAGTTGGAAAAATCCAACTTTTAATTTGAGTTCATTTGTTGAAAGATTTTTTTTTATTTAAAAAAATTGTTGTTTTATAAAGTTATCTGTGCCACAATTAGTGACTCCACTGATAGTTTTAATTTAACAAAACTGTAATTGCAGATTATTTTATTTATAACTTCCTTTTTTAATGTTTTTAAAGTGTCTGGGAATGTTTAATTGGAATTCATTGACTTCCAGTTTCCATGGAGTGTAAATACGATGGGACACAAAGGTAAATGTTCTTAGCCAATCTTCAAAATTAAAAGGACAGGATAATATTCCATTCAAGCGAAGCAGATGTACGTTGATTTTCATAAATCAACGTTGCCTTAGACTAGTAACTTATAAAAGAGACTACTGATTCAATAGTCTTTTTTTTTATTATTTTGGCTTAGCAAATTTATCGCCACTCTGTCAACAAAAACAAAATAAGAAAACTGCCATGACAACACCCTTTGAAATAATAAGCCTAAAGCGTAGATAGTGTAATGCCAAATTGGCAAAATTCTGATCCCATGTCCAAGAAAGAGTGATGAAAATAATAGTAATATAAAGTAGAAGAAGTTGGTGTTGAAAATCAGTCTTTTGAAATGTTGGCAGTAATCATCGGACAATGCCAAGAATATGAAGAACCAACATTTTTAAGATTTTTTTTTTACAATTCTTTTCTGTCTGTCCACTGATAACTTACACAGCAAACAATATGTTCACCACCAATCTAAAGAGTAAATGCAACGCTTCGAGGAAAAGATATTCAGAACTCATGCACTGTACCTCAGAAAGCAGAGTCTGTTTTGTACCTCGCTTCTATCAACTTATCGCACTTGTTCTCTTACTTTAGCTGTTTAGGAAAATCTCATTAGTTGCAGCAGGAAATAAGCAGCAATGTAAATGCATGAGATTTATAACAACATAGGATTAGTTCAGTCTCATTGCACAGTGCACTGCTTAAACTAGGCTCTGGATAGTCAGCTATAAACTAAGCGATGAGAAGCTGATCAAGACTGTGAGAGCATGAAATATGTCCAGCATTTGTTGACACATGGGACAAATAACAGCTTGCCCAACACTAATTAGGTACTGAAATGCCTTTTTTTTTCCTGGCAAGGAAGTTCATCTTACTTATTAGGCCACATTTTAAAACTTTCTACATCCTTTTTAGTACTTTTTGAAATTTGCATATGTTTCTAGTTCTACCTTGTGTATTTTGGATCTTCTTCCCCACTTCTTTTTAAATGTCTCTTGAAAAAGTCTTTTTCCCCTTTACCTTTTTTTCTGTTCATCTTCTTCCTGTTCTGACTCATCGTCTCCTCCATTCTCTTTAGGTATTCTCTCTCTCTCCATGTGCCAGGCCATGGCCTAGTTAAAACTGCATTCTTTTATTAACTTTCCTCCTTCTTTTCACCTTATCTCTCCCTCATATTCTCTGTTTTATTACTCTCCTCCCTTTTAATCCCATAGTTTCCAGGTATTTTCCATTTATCTTCTTTTTACCCCTCACCCCATACACACACACGCACACTTCTTCCCATATTTATACATACCTGCTGTCCCACTTCCCTCCTTTTTCCCATCCCCATCTGTTTTTATCTCACTGTCTCTGTGCCATTGTGTGGATGATAGCTGTCAGGAGATCTCATCACTGAGTCTCTCTTATTACATGATTACAGGGTAATTATCCTGTGAAGTTGTCTTTGCCCGAATCTATGAAAGACGACTAATGTCTTTTTAATGGGGTTTGGAGTTTGGAGACTTTATTTTTTTGCGTCTTTTGTAGTTTCTGTGGACTCTTCAAATTTATTGTATTTACAAGCAATTGGCCTGGAACACTGTGTCCTGATTAAGTGGCAGCCATATTTCTGGTAATATTTTAAGAATGGCGTCTCTCTCTCCCTCTCTCTGTCTTTGTCCCTCTCTCTTTTCCTGTCGTAAGTTGGGCTCCTCTCGTTTCTCAACTCCAGGCCTCCTGGCTTTGTCACAAGGTGTTTTTAATTTGCCAGCATCTGATTAAGGCTGACGTAACAAGGCTCCTGCAATGTTTGGACATGCACCGGCACAGAAACCTGGCTTGGATTTTAAAGGAAATGGAGGCTGATGTAACTTGTCAACACTGAGTTGTTGTGTTTTAACCCGTTGCTGTCCCCCGATTCACAAATTATACAGATCCACTCTTGACAATTTTTCCTTGCAAGCGTGAAACATGTGAATACTTAGGACCATTCTAGAAGCAGTTAAAACTGTCTATAGATTCACCTGTATTAACACACAGTGAATACACATATACATCACTTTCACAACATGAAAGTGGCGCAAATCAGATTTTTGGAAGGTGAAAAGATTGGAATTGTGACGTTCAGACTGCTATGAAAAAATTTGCTATGGATTGCATATGGGCAAAAAAAAATTAGATTTGGGTCGCATTTGCCTGTTGCGTAAGTGTAACCTTCGAGAACTCTACTGAAACAGTATCGTGAAGAACAAGAAACAGCAGTTCAGGAAATCATTTTCCATTTTTAGTTTGCCACAAAGCAAAAATTTTGAAGAATGTCTTTTACTCAGTTGAGACCAAAATTAATCTAATTGTCCTACTTTCAAAATGTACGTTGTGCTTAACACACCATCAACTTTGTTGGCAAAAAGATGGATGGTAAAATACTTTTGTTGAAGGTTCAATTTCCAGCAAGACAATTTTAAGCATGTAGGCAGTGAGAGAGCTACCATGTGCAATGGCCCAGTAAAGGTTCAGTCCTAAATTTTACTCTTGAATCTGTGGTGATGCTTGAAAATTGATGCTCACAGATGCCAGAGTGGATTTTGCATCTGCATATTCAACAAAAGGTGGTTCAGCAAGTTATTCTTTGACGGGGGAAGATTGTATACCTGTTATATTTTTACTTTTATTTATTTATTTTCTACTTTTCCTATGATTAGGAACTACTTTGGTCAATTACAAGAAATTTCAATAGAACACTTTTTAAGTTTGCAATCGTAACATTTCAAAATGCAGAACATCATCTCCCCTTTTAATGCAGATGTTTTCTTCTTACATCTTAGCATGCTTTTGTGATTCTGCAATAAATATTTAATGACTCGGATAATTAACAGCTATTTTTCCCTCTTGTTGCTTGTGTCTCTGCAGCTTGACCCCCGCTGCTGTCTGTGATGCCCTCCCATGACGCCCAGGCTGGGAGCTGACACTGACGGTGAGCGGGAGACGCCACTGCACAGCCGGTCCTGGGCCCGTTCCATCAGCTGGTTTTCACCCTCGCTCTTGCACGCTGGAGACTACTCCTTCACCCACCAACTGGTATCCACAATCATCAGCTACTATCCACTTCAGTAAAGTTCGCTTAAAAAGACCCAACAATCTGCTAAGCTTGGTCACCAGCACTATCAGCCAAAATCCACAGTCTCTTAAAAAACAATCAGCAGCACCAGCACAGCTATTACCACCAACACCAGCAGCAACAGCCATCATGTCCAGCCGTAGAAAGTCCTCCACACCTTGCATGGTCCGGGTCATAAGCGACCTGCCCGATGAGCTAGAAGATCCAGAAGACGTGATGGATATGGAAAAACTGTCTGCCAATGCCATGTCGGCAAACGGACAGTCAGAACTATCAAAAACCAATGCAAAGCAGGATCCACAGCAGGAGAATGCAGAGAAGACTGACAAGGGGACATTTTTAAAGCAAGTGGAAACACAAAACCTTGAGCCATTAGTACAAGAGCTGGAGTCCGATAAAGGAGATCAAACTCACGTCATGGAAAATGTAGACATAAGTGAACTGAAAGACAAAGAAACTGAATCTGAACAGGTGTCAGAGAAAAAGCAACCTAGAGGGTACAAATGCAAATACTGTCCGTTTTTGACACAGAATCTGAGTGACTTTAAGGAACATGTAGACTCCAGTCACCCTAACGTCATTCTGAATCCACTGTATCTCTGTGCCGTGTGCAACTTCAACACCAAGAAGTTTGACTCACTCACGGAGCATAATGAAAGCCAGCACCCAGGTGAGACAAACTTCAAGTTTAAAAGGATACAAAGGAACAATCAGACTATCTTAGAACAGACAATCGAAGGCAAAGACAATTCAGCTGAATGCAAAATGACAGACGAACAAGGTGAAGGCAACAGTAGTTCCATGTTTCCACCTTGTATATCTACAACAGTAAAAACACCCTGTAACATGCAATCCCTCTTTGGAGGAGCAGACCTTCAAAGCCAACTGGATGGTTTGATCCAGAAGGATCAGATCACAGCATTAAACATCAATGGAACAGTTATCATACCTGAACCCACCATGCTTCAAGGGCTCTCTCATGTCACCCCAATGCTTAAGCGCCCACCCAACTTTAACTCTGTACCAAAAATAGCTGTTCCTTTGAACACCACCAAATACAACCCGTCCTTAGACGACAATTTGACATTGATCTCATCCTTTAACAAGTTTCCTTACCCAACTCATGCCGAGCTGTCATGGCTCACGGCTGCCTCCAAGCATCCGGAGGAGCAGATCAAAGTCTGGTTCACCACCCAGCGGCTGAAGCAAGGGATCACCTGGTCCCCAGAAGAGGTGGAGGAAGCCAGAAAAAAAATGTTCAATGGTTCTATTCCTCCTGCCCATCACACATTTACCAGCCCTATGTCTCATCCCCCTGCCAAATTGTCCAAGCAGCCTATTGTTCACACAACTGTCGAGCACCCAGGTCAGGTGCGGACAACTGTGTCCAGTGAATTAAGTATTGTCTCATCCACAAATTCTTCTGCAGGGGTGACGATAGGTTCCAGCCACAATCTTAAACGATCCCTGACCACACATCTAGCGTCACAGATTGGTCCCGAGGCAAAGCGACCTATCATGGCGGTGGCCCCTCATTCTGGTGACCCTAAAGACAAGCTTCTTATGGCTCCTCCGCCACCACCTCCACCCCAGAAAGACCGACTACCAATGGCTCCACCACCAGTTCCTATGGAAATGAAAAGACCTGGAGCAGCTCCGCTAGTCAATGCAGAAATGAAAAGGCCATCTTTTCCTGTGCCTTCAATGCTGCCACCATCTTCATCGTCATCACTATTATCGTCCTCCAAAGGGAAGTTTCTCTCTGCAACTGGAAATTCCAAGACAAAGCCAGTCGTCTCTTTGCCCTCCATGGTGTTTCCAGAGTCCTTAACAAGGCCTATGATAGCTCCTCCGCCTATATATGCCCCACCATTTAAAAACTCTTTGCTAATCCCCCGAACTAGTCCCAAAGAAAAGCATGGTAATACTCACCCTTTGCCTGATTTGAACCTGCCAAACTCTCCTCCGTCAATAAACTCTCACATAAGGCGGCCAACCATCATCCAGTCTGTTCGCACTCCAGCTAAAATCCCTTCGCAAATCCAGGGGTTCCCTCTGGAGGGCAAGAAACTAAAGGAGCACCAGAGTTTAGAGATTAATTCTGGCTACCCCAGAGGAGATAAGATTGTCAGTCCTCTGACAGAGGCTAATGGGACATCTCGTTTGGATGGTAAAATGTTCACAGATCAGACGTTCCCTACTCACAATAACGGAATCATACATTTGGACGGTGGCGATGCTTCAACACCACAAAAACAAGATTTTAATCCAAAGTCCTCAGTGATGACTCAGTTCCCTTTGCTGGAAAGGATGAAAGGAAAAACAGCAAAACAACTGAAGGTCTTGGAGGAGAATTTCTTGCGGAACAGCTTTCCCACGCATAGCGATGTGGACAATCTTGCAGCCACGACCCGCCTGTCTCATCAGGAAATTGACAGCTGGTTTGTGGAGCGCCGTGCACTACGAGACAACCTGGAACAAGCCCTTCTCAACTCCATGGGCACTAAGAAATTGAGTGGTACTCCTGGCATAGGGGAGAAACAGTTACATCCACAACAGCATCAAACTATACAGCTGAACGGGGTCCACAAAACAAACACTAATGTGGTCAATCTTAAGAGCCCTCCTTTACCTTCACATGCCCTCTCCATTGCTTCTTCCATCCCTAACTTAAATACCTGCTCAGTGCCTCCAGACAGCCGATCACTGGCACTCCTCAAGGACGATTTTGCTCAAACACGGTGGCCTTCCCCTGAGGAGTTACACCAGCTGCAAGGTCGGAAAGGACTTGCTCGCTCCGAGCTCGCTCATTGGTTCACTGACACTCGGCTGCAGAGCATGGAACTGACAGAACTCTTTCACAACAATGGAATAAATGGAGGGCAGGGGCAGTCTGTGTGTTCCCCTGAGAAAACTTCATCCAGCATCATCCAGCGTTGTCAGGAAGGAGCCGTAGCAAACAACAACAAAGTGCTGGAGCTGGAGCTTGGATGGCTGTTGGACCAGCGTTCCAACAGTCTCAACAATCAGCAGCACACTGAGCTCCAAGACCAGTTTGCTGGCAGGTACTTTAATCTTGGTTATCATTGGTATTAGCATTTAGAAATGTAGGTTTCAAAATTGCATGATTAAAAATCTATGAAAAAACTTATAAATTCTTGCACTTATTATGTCTTCAAGCCTTGAATATTCTACTATATACTCCTGAATATATATGTCTGAAAGAAAAATTGCAGAAATACCTAAACCTCTTGGTGGCATAATTATTAATGTTGATTTTTATTATTTTTTTGTACTTTTAACAAAACAGCTAGATATAGAAATTTAAGCAGTTAAGCTACAGTGAAGGTTCAGCCTGCTTCTTGGTACATCAAAAGCTCCTGATCACCTGAACTCAGTGATCTTTTACTTTATGGACAGTGGCTATTAATTCAGGAAAAGTTGCTTTGTAAATATCAGAGTTAGTGGCAACAGAACATGATTAAAAGCTTTGCTAAACCAATATTCCTTGAGTTTGCCTTAAAAACTTTGAACCCTCCCAGCTGCCCTCGGGTCCTGAGGAAGGTCATTTTTCAGTGGAAGTCAAGAGTAATTAAAAGATGCCTCATCGTAGCTTTCAGGATTAATAAAATACCTGAATCTGCAGACCTCTGTTTCTAATAGAAGTCAAAAGCAAATAAAATGGATATTTTGGACTAAGCACATTCAAAGCTCTAAAAGTCATTTATAAAAGACAGGAAAAAGGGGCAGAGAATCAGAATCACACCGATTCTCCTTCTGGTCCTTTTCAGAAGATGTGCAACTTAGTTTTGTATTAATTCCAGTGATGAGATTCACTTTCTTTTTGGATTTTTTTGGATAACAAAGAAGAGCATCACAATAATCAATTCTGCAGGTGATAACAGCATGTATGAAAATGTCTGCATTGGCTTGTATTAAGAAAAAGACTCTGTCTGCCAGAGTTCTTTAACTGGAAGAATGTGTCTTCATTATGTTAATAATGAGTTATTTAAAAAAAAATTATTTGAATCAAAAATAATGCCAAGCTTCTTCACAATTCTAGATGGGTGTTGTGCCAGAGCACCTAATTTGGTGTGAAGTTTCACCCTGTGTGTCTCAGGACCGATGACTGAAACCTCCGTTTTGTCCTGGTTGAGTTGTAGAAAATGAATACGTTGTCATGACTATTACATCAAGACCAGCTTTCAGGGTAACTAACTCGTGCCTCAGCTTGAAATCTTCAGTTTTATGGATGAGTTGATAGAAATTATTCAGAGTAGGTAAGTTTATTTGGATTCAATTCCCAAGGTTGTTATATTTCATCATCCAGTATTCTCAGAACTAGTTTCAGTTTCACTTCTTCCCCACTTTCATGCAGTCAGTGTTTACTTAATATTCTCTTATTATCTTCAGCAACATTTTCTGCCCACTGGCACTTTTTCTGGTGACCTGTGCATCCAAAATGAATTTCTATTTCTCTCTCAATGGGTGTCAGCTTTTTTTTTTCTTCCTACCACATTACCATTGTTTTCAAGGTGTTAACCTACCAATATATGGGACATCATTTAGTCTTCCTTCCTATCGAGCAGCTTGGGACATGTTTGGCCAGATAACACAGCCATTAGGTTGGAAACCAATATCTGCACAATAATTTGGCAAGCATTTTATTCTTCCCAGGAGTGAGCTCTGGATTCAGGCTCAGTCGCTGTAAAAAAAATAAATTAATAAATAAATAAACCACGATGTGAACCTGCGCTGGCAGCACAATGAAATCCTTCTTGCTGCTGCTGGTTCTGTGAAGTCTCAAACAATTTAAACTCTTTAACATCTCTTAAAGTTTTGAAAGTACATAGAAATGCACACATATTGCTTAAGACAACTTGCACTAAAGTCTAGCTTTAGCTTAAATAAATTCATATACAGTAAAGTAATATATAAAGCATGATACCCCAGTTTTCATTGAAAGGTTTCCATGTGATATGAGCAGTTCACTATTTTAATGTCCACAGTGCCCATAGAGTGTGGCGTTATTTTAATGATTAGTTTCTTTTCATTAATTAAAAATTTTCCACTTATGACCCACTCACATTAAGTATAATAGTGGGCAATCACTTCATTACCTTAAATATCAGAAGAATGATTAACAACTACCTTCTAAATTCAGAAAAAGTCAAATGCCTACAAAGCAGCTTTTTTTAAATAATGTTTTGTTTCATGTATGCCGAATATTTGTGTGTTTGAGAAGTTGGGAACATCCATAATGGATAAACAGCCTCGATAATACTCCCCCTATTATATTCAGATTTTTAATGCTGTGTTATTTCTTGATATTGATTTAAACAACTACAGTCAATAAATATGCTGTACTGCACGTTACTATGATGTTCCTCTAGCAAAGGATCCGACATAAAGGAAACGATATGTTTAAAACAAAAACAATTAATATGGAGCCAGTAGAATATAAATGAATTCAGATGTATTTATTTAAATTTTATATAAAAAATAATAAATTTGAAAATATGATTTTCTTTATTTTTGTTTAACCAGGATTTTCATTGACTCAGATCTCTTTTTTTTTTCTTTAGTAAAACCTAAACTCAGGATTTACACCATTTAAAAGTTACAATTAAAAGTTAAGCAGTAACATCCCAATAGATAAATACAATTTAACCATTTTCAGTTGCAGAAGTCTTGTTGAAAACTTTGAGAAATTAGTAGAATGCAGTCTACTGCATCTAGAAAGACATCCTTGGTACTTCAAAATAGTCATAGAAAGGATATAAAGTTAATAAGAATTTACTCACAAAAGAAGGATGTGTACAAAGTATGTATTTGTACATTAAACAAGTCTGCCTTTGGACCCTATTGATCCTTTAGGTTAATATGACACCTGGTTTATTAAGACTATATAGACAGTTTAATGATGACTGCCCACTCCTGACATGTACCCTTCCTGTGGTCTTAAAGCGACGCTCAGAAGGAGCACGACAAATGTCACGGTCAGAGTGCAGGGACCGTGACATTCTCCCATCAGACTGTCACTTTCCGAAGCCACACTCAAATAAAACCTCGTAAAAGCGCACAAAGTTTACAGTGGAAACCTTGTGCTCAGGGTCAGTGTGAACTTCCTGGACTTTGCACAGTGTAAAAAAACTTGTTGGGTGTAAGTGACCTCATCTCTTAAGAGGGTTAAATTCGACCTGGACTGTCGCTCAGTCAGGTACTCTAGTGTTTCATAAAAAAAATTTGAACAGTTATTTACTGCAAATATGCAAAATATCTTCCAACGTACTTAACATTTTCCGCATATTAACTCTTTGAACTAACAATGGTCGTAGTCATACTCAGTTTTATTCAGATCAGATTTAAGCAAGTAATCCCAGTAACTCCACATGTTTATGACTTTGATGGTGGAACAGAAAATGAATTTTCCAGCTATGAAACTTGTGCACCTAGATGGCCAATAGTAATTTGGAAAATTAACTTGCATCATGTCTGCTTATCAGTTGACACATGCGTTGTTATACAATAAATAAACTGAAAAGTTTGACAGGTCAATAAAGGCAACACTTGTGGTTTTATGACAATAGCAGCAGGTTAAAGAGACTGTCTCTTGGTCGTTACTGTGGGCACATTATGCCAATGTGCTGAGGGGAAAAACTTTAAAATCTCTAAAGGGAGGACCGAACATAACTTAACAGAGGTTGCATTCCTAAGTACAAAGTTGCTATGTAGAGCAACGGATCCCAAGATGCCACTCTTTGCAGCAGTTTTCTAGCAGAGAGCTTTGTAGTTTTGTTTTCCTCCTTCACTATTCGTCTCACTGAGCTTGATCGGAAAATGAAATTTGAGTGAAATGTGTCATTTATATCCTTTAGAATGAAAAAGTCATAGATTGCTAATTTGAAGTTCTTATAGATTCAGAAAAACAAATAAAATGTAAATTATACTTTTATTTTATGCTCAAATTCTAGTTTGTTTGCAGGATTTGTTAACAATACTCACTTCTCAAATGAATGAATTTACTACTTTTCAGACCTTTCCAATTGGTTTTGGAATAAAAAAACCTGCTTTTTAGCTGTACTTTTAAAGAATGCGCAACGTTTAAATTAGGTTACTTGTAATAGAAGATGTTCACCTTGTTGTAAATGAGAAGTTTTACTGTGAAACATCTACTATTATTCTATCCATTACAAAGACTTAATGAACCAGAATCCTGTCCCGTCTATCATTGTCTAAGCAGAGAACCCAGATGACACACAAACACATTATCATTCAGATGAGGCTCATCAGTGATGTCCAGCAGGGTCTTAGTGGCCGCGTTTAGGAACAATAATGGAACTTAATGGTGTCTATTGTTACCTTAACTGTGGTGTTAAAATTGGTCCAACAGACTGAGGCAGCAGAGTATGGCTGAATTGAAGAACGGGGCCCAAAACGGGGGACTCATGGGAGGAGCCCGGGAGGTGTTCGGGAGCTGGCTGGACGACGGACCTTTGAGGAGGGGACGGGAGCTGCTCCTGGACCGAGAGAGGAAGATGGCGGAGGAGACATCCGGGCGGCTTACAGGATAAAGGTAAAATGTTTGTTCTGCAATGTCTCTGAAGTGACTTTATGTGCTGAATTCTGACTCCAAGAAACCTGAGAAAATAATAAGACCTCTAAAGCAGATTTGATGCAGATAAAAAAAAAACATAAGTTGTTGATAAAAAAAAACAAAAAAACAAAAACTGAAGGCAAACATTTTTAATTAAACCTGCAGCTACATTCAGATTCCACATATAATAGCATGTATTACTCAACTCTTTGTTTGGGGATTAATTACTTTTCTATAAAATGTCAAAAAAATGTTCATAACCTTCCTTTTACGCATTAAAATATCAACCACAGGTTTTCAGGGGCCTCACTGATGTTTAGTTATTTTTCTGCAACTTTAAAAGTTGATTTAGTGAATTTAAAAGGTTTCCTTTGTAATTGTGTTGTTAAAAATAAAGTCTGAACAACATATTTTCTCTTTCACCCAACCAAAAAACCCTGATAATAAAAATGTCTTCCAAGAACATCACTTTTGATCATGTTAAACATGTTGATAGTGCAGGAAGAACCAGTATATGTGCCCTTTGACCTTTCTCGCAGACCAGAATGAAGAATCAATTATGTGTCACTGATATATCACTGTTGGTGTTCAGTCCTTTCAATTAAAACTGTTTTATGGTTTTTCATAAATCCTCCAGACCTGTGAACTCAAATAAGATCATGTAGTGGAAGCAAACTTAAGTTCTAAACATGATGAGATAAAATTCAAATATCTCATCATATCTCATATCCCATTGGTTGAGTTAAATACTTGATACCTCTATGAACCAGTCAGAGTCAGAAGAATGGAATTGCAATGCCAATATATAGTGTAGAAAGAAAGAAAACCTCAAACATTTTAAATGTTAAGATGCTATCCTACTGTCTTTTTATAAGCAAGACCTTAGTTATTCATTTCAAACTAATATATTCTTCTGATGACTTGTTAGCAATGGTTTCTAGAGCTGGAATATAGTTTTTGACCTCAAAACGAAGTTAACGGTACATGTTTTATGATTTCATGTTTATTATTCCTCTGGAGCTGCTAACTTGCTGAGTTTTTGTCATACAGGAAAAGGGGTTTTCAAATCATGTCTTGCTTGCCGGGTTTCTCAAAGTGATGACATTAGCAGAAGCAGACAAAAGGCTTTTAGCTGATTATCTTATTTTAGTATGCTGGATGCGTGGATTGGACCTTCTTAGTGTTGGCAGAGCCAATCTCTACCACATGCATCTCTCTGCAGCCATGCAAAATATGGAAAAGATGTCAGATTTATAACTGTTTTGCTGGCCAGTCACAGCTTAGAGCCAGCTGAGGGTAAATTGGCCAATTCCAATTCTTAGTTGATCCACTGGTGCATCTCCAGACATACTGTGCTTTTTTTTTTTTTTTTTACACTTTAACAAATATTGAAGTTCCCAAATAATTTACAATCCCATTTTACTTTAATCTGCAGATTAGTACCATAATACTCTGCGTGGAATAATTTACATGTTTTATTCTGTTAAAATCAGAAAAAAGTTAAGTACTTTAGATGCATCTAAAAACAAGTGTTTTACACATACTATTCAAAGTAATATGTCTCAGATGAGTGAAGTACTTTTCTATAATTATTTATAATAGCACTATTGTCATGCTACGTGTTTCACCAATTTAACATTACGCTGACTTCTGTATGCTACAACAAAAACTGAACAAGGTTGATTATTTTTAAAAGTATCCAAAAGTGTGGACATTTCTGTCCAGAATACACCAAATGTAAGTTTGTCCCCTACCTTCCCCTACCAGCAAAGAAAATTATCCATCCATTTAACTTTAAGCGCTCTGAATTGAGCAGCACGTAATTTTCTGCTGTTCGATTATGAACTAATAGATTACAGAGGTGTTTTCAAGCCTTTTGGCGTAAACAGGTAGCTTGCTTCGCTCAACAAAAGGCTGCACATTTCAGTAGTCTGCGGTAGGTTCGCAATTAGCTGAGACAAGTCCCCCGATGTCGCTCCTTTTCACATTTTTTTATTGAATATTCTGCTTTAAGATATAAAATAACTGCAGATTGCTCTGCAAAAAAAAAAAAAAATCTTCAGATTTTTTTTTTTTTCCCACTCCATTGAAAACTGATTTGTCTCAGCATGGTCCTCACTGGTCTCCAGTGTCCCCCACTATCTCCCCCCCCCCTGTTCTGACAGTGTTGAAGCCAACACCTCAATCCCAGTCAACAAACAAACAAATCCAACCAGTCTTTGTTTGTGTGTGTCGCTGTATGAGTTTTGGCTGAACAGTGACTTGGTTAAAGATTTTGTTGGAAGGGGGGGTTATAAATTATTGGAGTCCTGAAATAGCAGCAGACCCCCCAGTGTGGCAAAGTTTCATAGATAAAAGGCTCTGCCTAGGGCAAAGAGTGATGACAGAGTCTACTGCTTGTTCCCTCCACTGTCTGTTCTGACAGAAGATTGAATGTCTTAATGTGCCTGCTTGGCTTTTGCTCATCAAAATAGAATCTGTTCAAATGATTTCTTCAAGACAAATGTCTGTTTAAAAAACAAAAGGAGAAGGTTGAGACACAACTTCTTACACTGTCACTGTGGAAAGATTGCCACCACTTTAGGATAGCATCAAAATCAACACTTGACAGCTAAAATCAATAATCAATACGCAGTGTTTTAAATAGTCAACGCTGAGTTTTTGCAAATGACATGTGGTGTTTAAAAAAAGAACTGTGCACCTTTTTCTACCTTCACATTTGAGTTCAGAAGTGTTTTTTATTTGTCCCACAGGAGACAGACAGCACTGGGAAACAACAAAAATGTTTCTCACTCTCCTAAAATAAATGTAAATGTGCTGTTCTCTACAAGAAAGACTTTTAACACAAAAATAGTGGCCAGTTCATTGATGTTAAAAAGTTCTACTTAGTAAAAACGATGCCGTGACGAATACAGCACTTTGGAAACCAACTTAGTTTTTTTTTTTTTTTATTTCTTTTTTGCCTCCCAGGTGATTTGATGTTTGGAAGTGAAGAAATATTTCTCTTTTCAAAGCTATAGACTGCCCAGTGTTGCATTTGGAGTCATCTTTTGTCAGTCATTTAACTCTGCTCCCCTTTCAACAAAAAGAGGAACAAAAAACAGACTATAGGGGTCAAGTCAGCAGTAGTAAATATGGATTCCAGGCTTTTTCATTCTTTTTAGGGTTCTCTTGATGTAAAACGAATTAAAAAATGGATTTGCCACAGGAAATTTATGCAGTAGGAGTATCATTGTCACAAAAATATAACAGTTTTAAGTTGGAATGTGACGGACAGACGGACGGATGGAAAGCTAGCAGTGCCTTTAACATCATCAGGGTTGACCTGCTGACAAAATGCCTCCAGAGCCTCAGAGGTTGTCTTTATTTGTTGCTATGCCGACTGATTACGTTCTCCAGAACAACAACAACGCAGGTTTATTTACTGTTGCTCCCGAGTCTGCTGCAGCCGCGCTCATAGACTCCTCCGCTCTCGTGGTCCCCACTCCACTCCAACCCACACATCAGAGCTGGCACCGGCACAGCAGCGTCACATATTTGCACAGAGAAGTTTTTTTTCTTCTTCTTCTTTTACAGAAATTCGGCTCTTACTGTCCGACGCGCTTAAGCCTCCATCAAACTGTCACTTTCCCGGTTTATTCCAGCAGCAGTGGTGCAGCACATAAAAAAACAAGATGATAATTTTGTGTTATCAGAAGAGCCGGGGGAGGTGTTGGGGTGGTTGTGACTTAGTTTGAGAGTAGGATGATAAATGAACATGAGCTGCTATGTAAACTCAGTTTGTTACTGCAGCTGCTCTGCTCAGGTGCCAGGTATTATTGGAGGCGGAAATCTGCTATCCAGATCAGTTTGGCTGACTGATAGATGACTGTGGCAAGTGAAAGCTGAAATCCACTAAACCCTGCCGATTTAAAATTGGCTCCAGATTAAAAACATTCTCCAGCAACTTTTCTCCATGGGTTTAAATTTGGGACAGAAGTATTTATAATCAGACAAATGCTTTAGATTAAACATTACTGATAATTCAAAAGGACAAATCTGTCCACTGGAAAAGAAAACACTTCATTAATATTACAATATCAACAGTCTACATCTGTTATTCACCTTTCATTCTGCCCTTCTTAACTTTTTATATATTGTAAAAGCAAAAACTGTCTTCTCAGTGTATTATCTAATTACCATAACTTAAACACATCTGAAAATTACTTTAGTTTTCACAGTTTCACGTCTAATAAATACAGATTCTTGTGAAAATATTAAAGCTTCTTGAACCTAATGACATGTTGTGTTAAAACCTCAGACCAAAGTTATTTGCGCTTTTATTCACCCCCCTATAATCTGATACAGCTAAATAAGTAGGTAAACATCTGCCTTCAGAAGTCAACTACTAAACATAATTCATCTGAATTTAATTTTATCTCAGTGTGATTTTAACTGCTATAAAGGCCTTAGGGGTTTGTTAGGGAACATTTGTGAACAAACGGCTTCATGGTAACTCTAGAGGAGCTGCAAAGACTCTCCAGATTCAAATCTGGACTTCATAGAAGACAGCCGTACGTTAAGACAAATTGGAAACTTAGCAGAATGTTCTCTGGTCAGATGAGAATAAAACTGAACTTTTGGAGCAACACGGAAAAGTGTTGTGTGTGAAAGGAAACTAGTATTGGATGTGACTTTGAGTGCACTGACCCCACATTAAAACATAGTGGTGGCAGCATGGTGCAAGGAAGCTGCTCAGAGTTGGTGTTGTTGAAGGCTGAAAAATGCTTGAAACTGGGACAAAATTTACCTTCAGAAGGACAACAATCTTAAACATGCAGCCAGAGTCAATGACATGAAATGTGATGCTTGGACTGAGCTTGAGCCAAAGTAGAACAAACAACAATTTCAAACTTTAGATTTTAGAGGACTTTATAGGACTAAATAGAAATGCCTCACTTTTCAGATATCTATTGCTATAACAACTTTGTGTTGGTCTG